AATTTTGTCCATCTCTCCGAGGACATCACCTGGTCTCACAACCTGCCTCCTAACACATGGTTAAACAAAGGTGCTGGTTTTGTTTTAAGACCATCTTTAGCAGTGGAGTTAGTTAATGATAGCAAATTCAGAGGCCTTAACGCAGCTGAAAATGGAAGCACTTGCCTTTGCTAATGCAGCTGCACAGCCCAGGCGGATGTCGGTGGGGAGGGTGTAACACAGCATCCAAAAGAATCTGCTGGCCATCTGAGCGCATGATCTCTTCCAAGCACTTGAGCAAGATGGAAGGTACTCACCACAAAGAGTTGGCCTGGTCTCCTGAAGTGCTGTTCGCTGCGCTGGGTTCAGTGGGGTGCACTCCTACCACTCCCTGTCTCAATGCCGGGATGGAGTAATGCCCAACTCCCTGGCTGTGTCCCGGAGGTGGTAGCTGTCTGCTGGCCAGTAAAGACAGTCTTTCAGAAGGATAATTGCTATTAAACTACAGACAGAAGGAGCATTATCTAAGGACAAGAACACATGGCCATCAGCCAAAAAAAAAATTTTTTTTTTCTTTTTTGTCATATACTTCTTATGTAAGCTTGGACAAATGATTTTATTTTTGTTTCTTTCCATTTCCAGAATGAGGACAATGAGACTGTGCTACCTTACAAAGGTCCTATGCAGATTAATTCTTTAAGGATTATAAGGGGCTCTGACAAAAGAAACATTAGCAATTATAATTTATGTACCATCATTGTAACTGTGGGTAAACCTTCTCTTTTTGTTTTTATCTGAAGGGATCCCGACCTCTACTGGATTATCTTCGCTGCGCCAGGGTGCAGATAAGACACCAAATGGTTTTCATGGATGTATTCACGATGTCCGCATCAATAACGAGCTGCAGGATTTCAAGGATTTACCACAGCAGTCACTAGGAGTCCTTCCTGGCTGCAAATCCTGTAACATCTGCAAGCACGGTATTTGCCGGTCCCTGGAGAAAACAAGTGTGATTTGTGAGTGTCACCCAGGCTGGACGGGCCCCCTGTGTGACCAGGAAATTGGAGACCCGTGTCTTAACCACAAGTAAGCTCAAGCGAACGCTGATGGGAGGGTGGAAGCTTTACAGCTAATGCATATTTCACGTTTCATCTTGTAAACCACATCTGACTATTTCTGGAGGTGCTGGGTTCCCACATGAAAATTGCTGGCAGTTGTGAGTCAGCATCCATGGCAACTCTCAATTTCCACTTCTTGTTCTGACGTTGCTCACTCTCCAAATTAGCCGTTTGTCCTGGAGGAGCTATAAGGTGTTAATACTGCGTGCTGTGCTCTGCACACTGGAATATGCCAACTCCTGTTAATGGGTATGGGTTATCTCCGAGGCGGTGAGTGCCTGCACCCAGCCAGAGCAGAGCTACCTGTGAGTGGGAGGTACGCGTTTTAGGGATGTGCTCACAGCAGCATTGGACCCAGTATTCAGACCAACCTCCTGAAGCCCATTATGCGCTCCACTGTGAACAGTTTTAAATTTCCCAAATAGCTGACTTAAATATTTAAAGTCTGAAACAGCCCTTTAAAGCCTGAGCTTAAAGGATAGCATGGCGTTGCATGCGAAGGGAGCATGAGTGTAAAGCATTCACAGTTCAAAGGCTGGATAACCACATCTCCATCAGAAAGGCTGAATGAATGGCTCACTTATGGCAAGGAGACGGGGAAGCAGTCCAGCGCAGAGCAGTGGCTGCACAGCTCAGTGCTGCCTCATAACCAGATGGAAGTACTTTTGTTTTAGAAGCTACTTTGGTCGCACTGTCTGTGCAAAGGGGCTTTCCACCAGCACATACTTTTGACAGGTAAATTGACACAGTGAAAAATCACTCTCTTTAGGGCAGAAATTTTACTTGGCGGAGGTACCGTTTTAAACTTGCTCCTGGGTCTCATTCAGTGAAGTACTGAGCCCTGGAAGGTGTTGAGAAGCACCTGACAGTTTACAGACCAAAGCTACGTAGACCCAAGTGAAGGAGCACTCAGAGGCCCAAATGTTTCCTTGAATTTCCAACATCAACATGAAACTGTTGTGGTTGGACAGAGGAAAATAGGGGAGTTCCAGATGTTTATGTGATGAGGGATTGTTTCTCTCATAAACTAAGGAAGGTGATGCAATCCTGACTGTAGCCTCCTTGAAAAGGAAAGAAGTTGTGCATATTTTTAATGCTCACATACCATCCTACCTTTCATTAAATCACTTCAGCCCTTTGGAGTTGTGTCCTTAAAGCCAAGGCCTTTGTGTCCAGGGGGGTAGTGTCCTGCTGGCAGGTGTCTGCTCCAACACTCACAGATTAGTCTGAGTAAAGAAATGCAATCGTAAAGAACAGGTAGTAGATGATAACAATAGTTACTATCTAAGCATGTCTTTGGTTCGTGGGGCAGAAAATACCAGTTTATATAGACTGTGACGCCCTTTATTACAGTATTTTGCATGTCTTGACCTGAATGTAAAGCTTTTTAGTTCTAAGCTATTTAGTTGTTTGCGCTTTTTAGTTCAAAGCTTAAAAATCAAATGTTTAAGCTTTCAACATAAACATAAATTTTAAGGTACCAGAAAGAAAATAAATAAAAATAAGAGAAAGACATGGATTTATGTCAAGTAGGACCTGATATAGCAGTGTTGCTTTCTTCCCTGCCCTCAGCCCATTCCAAGTCTATCCCTGTCCCAGAAGTGGGGATGGTGTGAGAGAACTTCTTAAGGATCAACACCCCTCCCTGTGGTATTCCTCAGAAATACCAAAGCTCGCTGCAAACCACATGAGCCAGGGAACCCTTCGGCTACAGCTGCTTGTAGATATGTCTGTGCACAGCTTTTCCACAAGCACCTTCATTTATCACGCCTTTTTTCATCACCTGATATTATTTGTAGAGTAGTTCTGCTAAGGAAGCCGGGGCATGCAGTTTGGTTGTTGGCACTTAGTTCTACACGCTGATGCTAGAAGTGTGAGCTGCCTTGTGAGGATGCCAAGTGTTGGTCCGTGCTCACGGAGGAGCTTAACATTTCTCAAAGAGATCACTTAGGATCACAAATTCTAAATGTATTCTCTGAACGTTATCCAGTATTCACTGAAAACTCACAGGTTTTTTTAGAGTGTTTTGACGTTGAACTGCTGGTTTTGGATTAGTACCCTGGAATTAAATGGGCAGAAATGCCAAAACCAAACATCCCTGGGAAAAGGAACTTTCATGTTTAAGACAGGCCAGCTCTAAATGCTTCTCTTTCTCCAGGTGCCTGCATGGTAAGTGCGTGGTGGCCAATGTTGCTTACACCTGTAAGTGCATGGAGGGCTACACAGGCACGTACTGTGACAAGAAGAACAATTCCTCAAATCCCTGCAGGATTTTGAAATGCAACCACGGGCAGTGTAAAATTTCCGAGCACGGGGAACCCTACTGCGAATGCGACCCCAACTACAGTGGAGACCATTGTGACAGAGGTACGCTCGGCTGCAGCGCCCAGGACACGGCCCTGCTGCATTTCTGGTTCACACCCTTGTTTTTACCTCTCTTCCATGTGACTTGTATTTGGGGGTAAGAGGCAAATAGTAGAAAATAAAGCTAAGTCAGCCTCGCAGAGCAATACAGGGAGGAGAAAAGAACCCCACAGCAGCTAGGAAGCTAGTATCCAAACATATGGGAAGGGGGACATCTGTAGCAAAGGGTTTTATTCTGTGTCTCCTACATCCTTACGGATTTCTACTCCCAGGATTCTGGTGGGATGTTGAAAGGAGAGGTTGCTGTGAGGTTTACCCTCAGCCAACAGTGATCAGTTAATTGCAGTGCTGGGAAAGGAGGTCTTGCCCTGCACACCAAGAGCTTTTGTAGATGACAGGAGCAGGAACTGGCAGGCAGGAGGCACTGCTCATCTGAAGTGGCAGTAAAGATTCCCATCTTGATCCCTCTGATGCAGCTGGGCGGGTTTCCTGGGGAATCCCACAGACCAGGCTGGACTTTTCCTACTAGGGCTGGGGCCCATCTCCTCTGCCCTGACCTGAAAAGACTCACTGGAGACTCAGTGAGTTCCATCTTCATCCCTTCTGCCTTCTATTGTTCCTGCACAGAAGGAAGGGGCTGGCTTGTATTACTTTTATTTAGGTTGTGCCTTTCCTGTGAATGAACCACAGACTTTCCAAATTATCCACATGCACAGGCTGCTGTAAAGTGGCTGCAGAACAGCACAGAGATTTTCGGGTATCCCATTGCTCGTGTCATGTGGAGCAGGATGACCTTTGATCCCGAGAAGCAGGCATAGTAAAACTCACTCATATTTTGCAGGAGTGTTGCAGGATTCAACACTCAGCATTCATTAAAGCACTTCCAGAACTGCTGATCAAAGCCAGCAGGCCTGCTTGGCCTCTGCCTTGTGCCGGATATTACACATTTGTGTAACACAAGCTCTGTTTTGATGGCAGGTACAAAGCAGTAAAAGATTAAGGTCCTGCTCATGCCATCTGTTTGCCTTGAATGTCATTACATGTGCAGGGCTGTCTGCTGATGTTTGGGGAACGTCTGGCAAAATAGTTACCACGTTTTGTTTTTTTTTTTTTCCCTTTACATCTCTGCTGTCTTACCAGAGAATCTCTGCCAAGGAGAGGTCATTCGAGAGGTGGTCCGTAAGCAGCAGGGGTACACGTCGTGTGCCACTGCCTCCAAAGTACCGCGCCTGGAGTGCCGCGGCGGCTGCGGCAACGGGCAGTGCTGCGTTCCTCTCCGGAGCAAAAGGCGGAAATACTTCTTCCAGTGCATGGATGGCTCCACCTTCACGGAAGAACTGGAGAGACACGTGGAATGCGGCTGCTCGAAATGCTCATAAGCCATTCTCCAGTCTCTTGCCACTTTAATCGACTCAGAAGCGCTATCAAAACGGGACCTATTTACTTGCAGAGTGAAGAAGAAGAAAAGAATTATTAAGTATATTGTAAAATAAACAAAAAATAGAACTTATTTTTATTATGGAAAGTGACTATTTTCATCTTTTATTATATAAAGTATCACACCACTTTGGGTATATGTATCATATAGTGAGTTATTTTTACCATGAAACTTTTTTAACAGTTGTAAGAAAAAAAAAAAATTAAAAAGTTAAAAGTTAAAAAAATATATATAAAGAAAACATAGCCTAACAGGAGAAATGTTGGGGGGGGTGACTTTATGTGTATGCACAATGAACAAATGTAAAGGTGTTCCAAGGACCTGCCACGGAACTGATACGGGCTGAAGAAACCTCCGAGGCTCTGGGTGGGTCTCCTGAGAGCGGATCCCCACGGCCATGGCCTGCTCAGGCAACCGAGAGAGCCTCCCCCCGGGTCCCTTGCTCTGCCTAACACTGCCCACGCCGTCCTGTTCCTGTACAGTGGCTCCGCTTGCTGTTCCTGAACTGGTTCCCTAGAGCACGTAGGCACTGCCGTCGCTTGAGGCTAACTGCATTATTTGACTATTGTAATACTATAATACATTTTTTTGCTGTGTATGTTGTATTTATCTGTGTTCACATTATATTCTTCAGCAACTGTATCTATAGAGCACAGGCAGCTTTATCCAAAAGAAGGGAACGAAGGGAAAGAAAGTGGGGAAATATATGTTGCTTTGGGAAATTTGGGGGCAAAATGTGAAGTGCTAAGTGATGCCTAATAAATGACATAGTACTTTTGTGTAAACTCCTCAGCTATGTTATTTCCCAAGTTTGTGCCTTCTTGCTCCCAGCCTCGAGCCCTTTTTTGTATATGAAATATAAATAAGGAATGCACTGCTACATAATTTGTCACGCCTTGACACTTTAACTTGCAAAGGTTGTAAAGAGCATGAAAATACTGCAGGTGCCAGAACATACCTGCAGCGTAATGGCTTTTACTCCCGCTTCAGCCATGGGTGTAAGCTGGGCTGTCGCTGCTGTTCATCCTCGCTCTGGTCCTGAGCAGTTGGCTAATTTTCCTACAGCTTTTTAAACGAGCAGAAGTTGCACTATATCCACGTGAAGGTGTTCAGCCAACGTTTGTCCACTTCAGCAGCGCTCTCTTCTCTGCACACGGAGGGACACCCCAGCTCCAGCCCGCCCTGCTCTCCCGCTGGCTGCAGGTTGACCTGTTCAGCTGAAGCTTCTCCAGCCGCGCGGCTTCACATCCTGCGCTTGTGTCTCCCGAAGGACTGCCGCTAACTTCCACTGTGCTCAGAGCAAATGCTGAATAGGAAATGGAAATCAATGCAGGGATACATTCTCACTGTGAATGTGAGGCAAAAATTGACTCTGGGAGTGAGTTAGATTTTTGGAGGGTTTTTGGCAGGGCTGCCTTTCAGGGTCAGTGAGTACATGCAAAGACTACCATGGATACCTTGAAATTTCTCTTATTGTAAGTTTCAAACATCCCCATCGACAGCTGTTTCATTATCAGTGTAATTTCTTTCTTTCCCTAATGTAGCAAGTATTTTGGTCTTTTCGTCAATTTCTCTTTCTCTAAGAGAGGTAAGGTCAGAGACAATTCCCAGCAGCCGTAAGCTCCTTTTAGTGACGCTCACTGGTCTCACCAAAAAGATTTCAGATCAGGGCCTTCAGCAAAGGATGAGTAGGAAAGTTGAATCAAGTAAACGGGGCTTTTGTTTGACTGGGGCTTTGGAAAGATGCACAGAACGCAACCCTGCCATGACCAGTATAAATGTTTATTTCCCATTACAGAAAAGTGACCATCTAAGCCATCAGGCAAACCAAAAGCTCTAACACGCTTAGCATTCTTCTGCTACGCCAATCACTCCTTAACTGCAGCAGTTCATTCGTATTTCTTTGTTACCACCAGAGCAACTTGAGCAGAAGGGACATAACCAATATAACAGACATCTCACAAAACAAGTGTCAGTATGTGGAGCCAGCAATCAGTGACACATACAACCGTTGCTAGTTCATGTGCCAAGCTCTGATTGAAACAGCGCAGCTGAAGAGCCAGGGAAAAACTAACCCCGGTTGGAAGTACTTCAGGCTGCATTTTATTTTCAATGTAACATCAGAAGCTCATAGCAGCTGGAGTTTGTGGTGTACAACAAAAATCACCCGAACCCACAACCTACAGATTTTAAAAATTTGTGCAAGTAACTGCAGACACTTGTGCAAATATGTGCCTGGCACACCACTACCATTAATATTTCATTCCTGCTTGAAACACTTCAATTTCTGAAGAAGCAGCTGATGGTGCTGGGCAGAAGAAACCCAGACCGAGCAGTGGCTTACAAGCCCTCCATGTGCTCTGCCTTACAATTGGTAGCCACTGAACTGCCAAGGCCTGCAGAAACACAGCCCCTCTTGAACAGCACCCAAAACTGAGTTCGCTTTGTCCCTCGAGCAGCACTGCATGAGAGGAAGAAGGTGACATTTACTCATGGCCTGGCACCTGCTGGAGGGTGCTTTACAAGGAATGACCTTGACTGGCAAGGCACAAGCCTTCAGCATCTTGTTAACACATCACTCTGGGATTGATTTAAGCAAAGTGACCAGCAACAACGCAGCAAGGCTGGCCCTGCTCCCGGCCCTTTTCTGCCACGGCACTTCAATGTTAAGCGTTGGGATAAAAAAACTAAGAAGATCTATTTTGTAACCAAATGATGCAATTTTTGTATGCTTTTAGGCAGCACTTGCCATTGGATAGTGACGCTTTATGTCAATGATTCTCTGACTGCTATAGAATTATTTTATGTAAAGATGACAATAAAAAGCATTCAGATGTGCCAAAAATGTGAGGTTAACTGAAGTGTAATTAGCTCTGAAAGTTTCTCTGTAACCTGCCTAATGTTACACTAGATTTCAAGAACTGCGAGTACAATGCAGTAGTTTTTACCTCTATAAAGTTTTAATATAAAGTGAAGAAAGATGCTTACCCTTAAAAACATGGCAATGCAGACTGGTGTGAACTGATGTATTTTATTAATAGATTCTCATTGTGATGTAAGTTTAAATAAATTGTTGGGTTATGGAAGATTGTAACATACCTTGTGTTGTGATGCAGATTATTTCTGTGTTTACTTCAGCTGTTGAGTCTGACCTTTTGGAGAGTGTGCGGTAGCTCACGGGAAGTGAGGGGAGGACAATATACATTCCTCGTGGACAAATCTAGACAGAGAACAGCTACAGTTAACTCAAATGCAGTATGACCAGTGGCTATGTATTTTTATGGCATCACAACCTAATCTTTTAGGAGTTTTACACACACAGATTAATTAAACCGCATAGTTTTTGAGCTTGGGTATTTTCTTCAATCAAATACTTTCTTTGCTGGGTTGGTGTTTTTTTTTTGAACTGTTTGAGAAAGGCCTGCAGCAAAAATACACTCATTAACTAATTACAGAATAAATGAAGAAATATTGGGAATTGGTGTCAGGAGGTGTGACTGAGAAAATGCAAGTCACACAGCCAACAGTGGATGACAGGGATTTTGTGATGTCCTGACACACGTATATTCCAAATTTGCTGCCACACATCTGTAGCTAATTATTATTAGTGACCCAGATGTAACATACCTCTTCTGCTCATTGCCTTCCGGCCTTAGCACAGAATAAAATGAAGCTCCCACCTCGTTCTCAGCCTTCCCTCACCCATGCCTCTGTGTAAAACTCACATATTGCTAATTATACTTCAAACTACAGCCTTTGGAGTTGCCTTTGCCATTCCATGCAAAACTGGTCACAGCACTCAGCCAATAAAAACAGTTAACGTTAATGAGCATCATTAAGCCTGAACTATCAAGGTTAATTATATAATTGTAGCAGATGGTAGCATTTTCACCTAAAGCAAACCCAGCTGAGCCCACTAAAAAGCTACCAGGCACTGTTCACAAATGTCTAGGCACTGGCTGAAGTCACTGCTTTGCACAAGAGTTATTTGTATCGCTCGTGGCTTTGCAGCACATGGGTTCCTCGGTCGGTGCTCGAACAACCACAGCCCAAGGATGAAACCCTCATTTGTGCTTCTGCTTGCAGTGCTGCAGGTATTGCTTTTTAGCCATTAGTCTGAGGTAAACAATGCCAAGAAACTCTCTATCCCATGTTCTTTTATCTTTGTTTTTTCTCGTCAGCAGGGACTAGTTAGATGGTGTTGCTGTTTGCAGGGTGTTTGGCTGTGGGGTTTGTGTTGTTCTCTGAGGGTCCTATCACTTCTGGTGTCTGTGACCTCTTTTATGGGTTACCTCCCAATCCCTACTTCAGCTTACACAAGCCAGCCTCACAGCTCAGTGGGCCAGACCGCCAGAATTGGCTTCATTTTGCCAAGCCCAGGGTACTCTTGAGTAATCCCTTTGGCTTAAGGGCCACCAAGGCTTCCAACTGGATCACTGGGCGGCAAGTCCTGTGTGTGAACCGAGCCAGAATGTTTTCTGGGATGCGCTCTATGGCTCCTGAGGACAGCTGAGCTGAACATCAAACAAGATGTCCCAAACCACTGGGGCAGGATGGGACCCCAGAGACTGTACTGCCAGCCTCAGGTTCAGCAGTGCACACCCTCACCCTCCAGCTCTGCTAGCCCAGCACCAACCCACCGTGATGCTGCCACCACGGGGGCACCTCATCCCTGTCCCTCACCAGGGACTGACGCCTACATCCCTGACCCAGGCCCTGCTGGCGCCGCCGCTGCCACCCGTGTCGGGGTCCCCGGGCTGAGGCCGCGCTGTCCCCCTCCCGCTGCCGGCCCTGCGGCCGCCTGTGCCCTCGCTCCTCGGTGCCGTTACTGACACCACGGACGGACGGACGGCGGGGACACGCCGACAGCAGGGCAGGCTCCGACGCGGCGCTGCGCGGGGCCTGCCAGCAGGTGGCGCCGCAGAGCCCGGCCCGCTCGGCTGAGAGGGGCCGGTGGCGGCGCGGGGCGCGGTGGGAGGGAATACAATGGAGTAATTCCCGACGGGAGGATCCCACAAGGATCCCCCAGTGCAGCTGCCAGCAATTCTGGGCTGGCGAAAAGCTAAAGCGTGTCGTTAGGGGCATTGTCCTAATGCCTCTTAAACACTGCCGGGCTTGGGGCACCCACCACCTCTCTGGGCAGCCCGTTCCAGTGTTTGACACCCTCTCGGTAAAGAAACGCTTCCCAATTCTCTTCCCAAACGCTTCCCTGGTCTAAACCTCCCCTGGTGCAGCTTTGAGCCATTCCCACGCAGCCTATCACTGGATACCCAGGAGAAGGGCTCAGCACCTCCCTTTCTGTGTGCTCCTCAGCCACCTCCTCTCCAGTCCAGACAAACCCAAAGCCCTCAGCCGCCACTCCTCATAGGAGCATGTGTGTATGTGATACATGGATTTTCTGGGGAGTTTTAAATAACAGCTTCTCAGGTTTCATTGATCCTGTCCCATCATCCCCTAGCACTGCTCACGCTGCTCCTGCGAGGAAAGGAGCCCTTGAGCTGCAGCTTGGCATGGGGTCACTGCGGCCAGGAGCCCACAGTTCACCCCAGGACGCTGCAGGGATCACCAGGAGGGTGACCTTGCTGAGCCCTGGAAGGGCGTGTGTGAGACCTGAGGGTGTCTAACACCTCCTCGGCACCACCCCCGGGCAGCAGGACCATGGCTCTGTGTGGGGGCAGCTGGTGCCTGTGTGCTGCAGTGGCCTCAGGACAGTGTCATGACGGCAGCCTCATGAGAGGCTGCTGTTGATGGTGCAACCGTAACTTTGGTGCTGGCACCTTATGGAGTAACACCAAATTCTGCTATTCCTACCCTCATTCTGCTGCTGTTTGCCCACAGGTGCTGAGAAATGAGCACCACCTGCCTGCAGTTTCTCTCCCAGCCGAGCTGGTGTGTGCACACTCCTGTGGCTGCTCCTCCAAGCTCCTTCAGCACTCGGAGAGCCTGACTGGCAGCAAGAAACTCCTCGGGCATGTAATGGAGCACACACGTGGTACAAGCACTACTTGGTAGTTTGAGGAAGCTTAAATTTATACCATGACGCCTAGGGGCATCCCACAGTCTCACAAGCAGCAGGAACAGAAGTCGCTGCGAGACTTGCATAGCTTTGCATCTTGTTCCTACACGACCTCCTGACCTTCTCCTTTCCTGGGGCTTTTGTGCTTTCCAAGTATAGTGATGCCCAGGGTAGTCTGGTGGTGACACTGCCTTCTCCTACTGTCTGTGACCCTTGTCCCCATGGCACAAGGATCACTCCTTTTCCATAAAAATACGCTTTTACAACTGCTGTGTCTTACCTGGGGAGGAGGGGTATGCATCCTGCCTCAGAGAAGTGTGGAAGGGAGGAAAGAGGCTTAAATGAGTCTCGTGGGCTTTTGTGCTCAGAGGATAGCTCAAAACTTGTGGAGAATAGGTCCGTTGCATTTTCAGTGGTCCAGTCTTCCACCAGCAGCATTGAACCAGGCCTCCTGCAGAGGAGAGGTGACTCTGGACCCTGTGCCACCCCAGGCTGCTGGCTGTGCACTGTTGTCCGGTGCTCCTGCACTGGCACCTTTCTCCTGCCCCACCACTTTGTCTGCGGCGCTGAGATCCAGGTCCTGCACGAGTGCAGCAGGTGAATTTCTGCAAAGACAGAAAAAGCCAGGTATTAGGCACATATTTCAGCATCCTGGCAAAATGGCAAGATGCTTTGGTCCAGCGCAGGGCTATTCCCTAGCCTCCTCAGAAACTGTTACATCCAAAGCTTAAAAATACAGCAGAATTAGCACAAGGCAGGCAATAAACATGACATTTTCTCTTGAGGAAACTGAAATTTTGTGACATGACAAGCAACTGAAGCCACGGTCCTGTACTGAGAAGGGTTGTTAATGAGAGGCAAATGACTCAGCCCTGCCTTAGACACTTTGCATGCAGAGCAAGGCTACAGGAACCAAATACCACAAGGTAATTTACATGGGGCCTTTGCAGCATGGGAGATACTGTCATGCTTTCACCTAGCATGTGATAAGAGCACATACAGCAGGCAGTTACTACAGAGGAGCTTAAACTTCCTTAATTATACACCAGCATATTTTGCATCTCTTAAGCTGCCCTAGTTTCAGCTGGGTAAAGCACTCAATGAATTGTTGGGGTGGTGCAATTATTCTAAAATATAATTTATTTATTTTTTTTTACTATGTAGAAGTAAATACCAAAATACGGTTTAAGGCACTAAGATGCAGATAGATCAAGTTGGTCATATCAATAAATAAATGATTCTATTATGGCAATTAAACAATTTTTGTCTCACCCTGTTATGGTTTAACCCCATGTGGCAACTAGGACCATGCAGCTGCTTGCTCACTTCTCCCCCAGAAGGGTGGGGAGAAGAGGGAGAAAAGGAGGGGAATGGGCAAAAAAACCCTAGTGGGTTGAGATAAAGACAGTTTAATAGAACAATAACGGAAAATAGTAACAATACTGGTAAAAGAATATACAAAATAAAGTAATTCAACACAAGTCACCTCACCAGGCAACAAACTGGTTGTCCGGCCTGTCCCAAGCAGTGATCCTTTCACCCCCCAAGCCAACCCCCATTTATATACTGAGCATGATGTTCATGGTATGGAATATTCCTTTGGCCAGCTTCTATAGAAAGCTGAAAAAAGTCCTTGACTAATGTAAGCATCACCCGGCAACAGCTAAAACAATAAGCACTGACACTGCTTTCATACCAAATCTGAAACACCGCAGCCACTAGAAAGAAAATTAACTATCCCAGCTGAGACCAGGACACACCCCAAAATATCTCTGTAAGTAATACTGTTTTTAAAAAAAAAGTCCTTGTGTTCTGGCATATCATTCCTATAGAATCTTCTCACATGATTTCACCCCACAGGGACATTGTATAGTACTTTAGGGTAGTCATTAACAACTATCACTTGGAATCAGTTATATAAATATACATATATATTTATACACATTTATATTTATATAGCAAATCACACATTCACCTTCAGATTTATTTATTTTTACAGGCTATTCAAAGCAGTGTGGTGGCTGATGTACAAATAACAGCAATCCAGAAGTTCTTGTAAACTATAAATCAACTTCATCTGCAAATTAAGGAATGTTCTGAGCCTCTCGCAGGCCTGTGTTAAACTTCTGGTTTGAGCTAAACCTCTACCTTGAGACAGACTAAAGACAGCCAGAAGTTGAGGGGTTTTTTGTATGTTCTGTCTTAGCTGAAGCTAGAGCATTTCACCTTATTGTGAAGCAGTGTTTAAACCAAACTTTAAGATCTTATTTTTCATTGAGCAACCCTCAGTTCATTAATTATCACAGAGCTCTTTATTTATTCCCATTTTTTTACATGAGGAGATGAATTAAGAAACTTTGCTAGACAAATAGCTTAAAGTGGGCATCCAGTATATTCAAATTCAGAACTTGCTCCTAAGAAACCTGTGCACGAAATACCTATTTTTGTCCGTGACCGAAGTCAGAGGCTATAGGAAAGCAATCACTGAATCTGCATTGCTGGAAAGGGAGATTTAATTTCCTCAGTGAGTGGCCAGGTCGGGAAGTTTTCTGCCTGTTTCACGACAGCAGGAATTGGACAGCCGTCAGGCTGTACACTAGGTTTTTCTTGTTTTTCTGTGTTGCATGTATATGTTTATTACTGGCACTTCCCAGAAACAGTATTTCATTTCCTCTGGAGTTAGAAGTTGTGTAAGAAACATAGTCAAGAGTCCAAGCACTGGAAAAAATGCCTCAGGATTAAGGTACTGAAAAATCTCACTGCAGATCTGTTTTCCCCAACCCCACCAGAGATGTCTGTGTGACACCGGATAGCTCATTTCCACACTGCATAGTCTGGTGACGGGCAGGAAATTAAAGACTCTATCTTACGATCACAGTGTGTATTTATGACCGGGCACAAGTTAACTTGCAGGTAGCAGTGGAATTCTTGATTTCCCTAATATGTATGTAAATGCTTGTGTTTAAAATTTCAATAATAAACCACATTGCAGTGAAAAACCGCAAAGCCACACCAAAATTTCCTCTCTTTACGAGTAACACACGGGAATTTCCACAATTACATGCAGCTTACAGGAAGAGAGAAGTTCTGCAGCCTTGTTAATACACTCTTAACTTCCTTTAACGGACAAGAAGTAAACGTTATGAAGACTTCTGAGTATGTTTTCCAAATACAGACATTTCAGAAAGGAAACGTGGTAAGTGGGAGAGAGCACCCATATGAGACTTCCGGCTTTTTTAGATTAAGATTCTGGACGAAAATGAAGAAATCCTTTTAGGATAGGTTTTAGAATAAGACCCAACAAAATAGTGGTGCTCAAAGCAGATGCAGAAATCCAAAATGAGACAGCTGGGCTCTCCCGTGCACAAAGGTGGCCAGCATGGGGAGCAAAGCTCTGCTGGACCTACTGAGCAGGGACAGAGGACAGGCCCACATCTGAAATCTTTCCTTGTAGTAGGGCTGTAAATGAACACTGTCCCCTTCTAGGATCTGACATCCAAAATCCTTTCCTGAAGGAAGATAGTGACCAGGACTAAGCAAAGGACACTCGGAATACGGTAAAAGGCTTTTTGGTATGTGTTTAGGGGCAGTGGTGGAAGGGAGGATGAAAAGACAGTGGGTCCTGTTTCTAGACAATAGGTTCATGAGTAAACCACTTGCGCGGGAAGCTGAGGATTTAGTCCTTCCTCAATTTGTGAAGGATGGATTCAACAGAGACTTTTGATGAAGCAAAACTCCAGACACATCAGGAAACTTCAACTTCCAAGACACAGCTGATGCCCAACCCCTCCTTCTGGACCACAGCTTCTAGATCCAACCTAGAACCCTGTAATTGATCTAGAATTATATGGCATTTTATCACAACAGAGGGGTAGAGAAAGGCCATCTGTCCCACTATGACTTCTTGCTGGAAAACCCAGGAGTTGAGACCAGCAGGTCAGAGACCTCGCCATGCCCTCCCCAACACCAGCAGGCTTCCCTCCAGCTGCCCACAGTAAGAAGTTCCCCACGACCCTCCTAAGGGGCATTAAATGTCAGCCTATCCTTCTACCGCAAGAGGAAGAACTTCCTGAGGACTAAAGCTATCAGTGCAGTTATTGAAGTCCAGGAACCAGCAAATAAAATGAGCAATTTCCTGAATTGCTTCTGGTGTGTAATTGTGTGGGCACTTTCAGTCACACTTAGGTGAAACGAATAACAGGCCTCACCTCTCCTTTTGATTTACTGTCAAAGAGCTTTCATGTGGTACTTCTACCTCAGGAGCTGTGCAGAGGGTGGATGCCGGGATGGCAGCAGATTAGGCTGGCATCCTGGTTCCTCGGGAGCTGTACGGCAGCGCAGACCCCTCCTACCCTGTCCCCTCTTTGAGAACGACCGCCGTGCACGTCCCGCTTCCACATGACCGAAGCGGCCGAGCTTGAGGCCCGGCCAGCGAAGCGTCGAGCGGCCATGGCGGCCTGAGGGCTGACGCACGCGCCCATCCCCTCAGACGAGGCCCCGCCCTCCCCCGCGGCCCCACCCGGCGCTGGCGCCTCCCGATTGGCTGGAGGGTCGTGGGGTGAGGGGCGGGCGGCGCGGGGCACGCCGGGAGCTGTAGGCTGGGACCGGGCTGCGCCTCCCAGAT